TTAAACTCATGGTTACTTGTACATGGTGGGTATGCTCACAATGATTCCCTCATTAGTAAATGGTAAACTTCAGCAGTTTGCAATTTGGCTTGAACTTTGCATTGGCGCACTGACTATTGCATGAATTTGTCCATTTGTGTTGCGGTAACCACTTGCGAAATCACCAGGATCCCTTTTCTTGCGTCGTTTTTGTCGTATGCCTTGGGGCTGGTCTTGGCTGAATGGTTGTTATGTTGCATGCTTTTAATGAAGTTTTATATTTAAAAACTGAAACAAACTCCATTGTTTTGCAGGTCCACAATTTTACACGTGCTACTGAGTGAAAACATTTGAGCGCGTACGGTGTGAAGAATCAAAGAACGTGGAGACTATGTACTGACTTTAACTCCCTTGATACAAAGTTGTACCAGCCTTAGAAGTGCACGAGGCTTCTAATGATGGAAACTCACAAAGAGCTAGAGTCTTTATTAGTAGAGAGTAGGAATCAAAAAAAACTTTGGGAGGTAATAAATCCTGTTGTAAACTGCAACATAAACTCCTTTGTAACCATTTTGCAAGAACTTTCTTGTAACCACTCTGTGTTATGTTTGTAACCATGACGGGCACTTCAACGTGGTTGGCACTTTTACAATACGTTTTAGCCTTGACAAACATACTTGATGGCACATGTGAGATCTAACGAACTTGAAGTGATGCTTAGGAATTACTTGAACAAACTTCAAAATGAATTGAGATAATGACCTTAAAAATCAAAACTTGGATATGTCTTATCAGAACAAATTAATGTGGTTCTTATCATGAATTGTCCTGAACTAGTCTTCCAAAAAGATTCCTCATGCCTTGAAGCAATTTTAGCCATAATATACGGGGTGGCTCTTTCAATCAGCTGGTGTTTTTGTATGGCTCATAGATTTTATGACAATTGATTTATTTGACCGAATAACATGATACAAACGCGTGTGTACCACTGCTCCAAAATTTGTGATACATCTTCGCGAATGATGCCATAGCTAGACATGTATCAATACTAACCATCAAATTCAAACCTTGTCGAGAGTCTATCTCAATTATTGAGTGTATCACGGCCTTGAACCTTGAGGTTTATTCACCAAACCAATTTTTTTAACTTATATCAAAAAGGCATTTTGATTACAAACTTGAGCCATGGACATCCATTCAGCGTGCCATCTCTATTGGGTAAAAAAGAACCAATTTTAATGATCAGGAATTATTTGGTGTAGCCTCAGATGAAACTTGATTCAAATAGTCTTAACCCTGTGATATCTTTTTTTTGGAAATTTCTGTATGATAATAAGTGGATATACAAAAATGAAAAATTATACACAGGTAGGACAAATTTTGGGTATGACACATACAAAATAGTGGGGCTATGGTTGAGGCTCAACCCATGTAATTTTCTAGTTCCGAAGATAACAATCTTGTACTAGCATCCAAGTCGTACTTTGGGGTCATTTAGGAGATTTTGGAGATTGACTATGCTTCTTTTAAAGTGCCTTTATTTAAGTTCAAGTGGATTGACAGTACCGCTGGTGTAGAAACCGATGAATTAGGATTCAAGCGGGTTGATATTCGTAAGGAAACTTATAAGAACGAACCTTTCATCATGACATCCCATGTAAAATAAATTGTTTATGTCACTGATCCTTCTAACACTATATGATCAATTGTTCTTAAAGGTAAACATCTTCTTGATAGTACTGATGAAAATTAAGATTTTAACCATGAGACGCCTTGTTTAGCAACACATGTATGTCAACCATCTGAAGAAAATGATTCAGATGATGTGCATGCTATTCTTGGTGATCATGAAGAGGGGATATGAGAAAATTAGTAAGTAAATATTTTATATCCCTTTGAAATTTATAATTAATCATTTTACTCGTTTTTAATCATTGTACTATATATTTAAAGTTTTCGTTGATTGACCTAATTAGTTTCAAATGTTGTTCAAACTATAGGTGCTTAAGGACAAATGACAAATCCTATTGGACAGACTACACAACTTTCTATTTTGATTATTGCTTTTGTTTCATAATCCTTTGTTTTAGTTTTGAAAATGGTTCTGTAACTGGTTATGTAATACAAGTTCCAAAAAATATGGTTCTATAATTCTGTAACTGATTCTAAAAATATGATTCTGAATACAAGTGAAAACAACAGTAAATAAAAATGCAACCCTCAATTTTATTGAAAGAATACCATCACTACAAGAAAATGTCAATTTTGCATAGTAATTTAGTGACGTGTTAATCACGTGAGAAAAAAATATGTTTCCAAGTGATTCCCACGTCACTAAACTATTTAAATAATAAATTATTCAAACCTAAAATCTGCAACCAAAAATTGGAATTTCAAGAGAGAGGGAAGTTTGAATTTTTAAAAATTTCAGTTGTGGCATGTAAAACACGTGGGAACTGAAAATTCAAAAAAGTCCTTTTATTTTCCACGTGAGTGACATGTCACAAATTACCCACATGCAATGCACGTCGCAACAGATATATATTAATTTGGGGAAGGTTCCGACGTGGCCAGCATGTGGCAACGTTCCCACAGGTTTTGCACGTCGCAAATTCTCAAAATCTTTGTTGGTTCCGACGTGGGAATCACGTGGGTACATTCCCACGTGTTCACCACGTCGCAAGCATCCTTATATATTAATGCACCATATTTTCCTTCAGCAACAACTCGTTTCATCTTCCTTCATGCTTTCTTCCTTCTTCCCCAATTCTCTTCATTCTTCCATTACCATTACTGCCTCCCTCACAACTCCATTTTTAACAAAAATTTCACAAAAAATTTAAGGTGATTGGTATATATATATATATATATATATATATATATATATATATATATATATATATATATATATATATATATATATATATATATATATATATATATATATATATATATATATATATATATATATATATATATATATATATATATATATATATATATATATATATATATATATATATATATGTTGTTTTTGTGAATGTTTTACCTTTTATTTTTATGTTTATCTTATTATTAATTGTTGATTTTTTTTTCAGATCTAAGATTTAAGAAGTTCAATTGGAAATTTTGATAGAGGTATTTATGCATTTCAATTTGTTTATTTTTGAGATTTTGGTGATATATGAAATATTATTTTAGAATATTTATTAAAAAATTTTAGATTTTCTGTTGATATTTTATTGTGTTGTGTTGTTGTTGATATATTATTTTGTTGATATATTATAAAATTTTAGATTTTACAATATTGTGTTTGTTGATATATTTTTGAGATTTTTTGTTTATTGTGTTGTTGTTGTTGAAAACAAAAAAAATCAAAATAATTTGTAGTAGAATATATATTTTTAGAATATATATATTTCGAATTAAAAATATAATAATATATATAAACAGAATATTTATTACAAACAAATTAAATATGTAATATATTTTTAAGTTTTAAAAACAGAATATTTATTTTGTTAGAAAAAGTAAAATTTTTAAAAATATTTTTAGTAAACTAAATAGAAAAAATTAAAAGATATTTTTTACAAAACATAAAAAATATGTATTATATTTAAAATGTGTTATTTTTAAATGTATTATTTTTTCAAAAAGTATGTTTATTAAAAAATAATGAATATGTATTATATATTTTTTAAATGTGTTATTTTTAGTAAACCAATTATATATATTATAGAATATTATATTATTGAATAGTTATTATATTTTAGTAAACATAATATATATTATTTTAGAAAAACAGATTTTTAAAAATAATGAAAATATAGTATATGTTAAATATGTTATTAATGTATATTATTTTAAAAATAATGAAAAACATATTTATATATTTTTAATGTATATTATTTTAATTAAAAATTATTTTAATTAAAATAATGAAAATATAGTATATGTTAAATATTATTTTAATTAAAATAATGAAAATATAGTATATGTTAAATATGTTATTAATGTATATTATTTTTAATGTAAATTATTTTAAAAATAATGAAAAACATATTTATATATTTTTAATGTATATTATTTTAATTAAAAATTATTTTAATTTTAAATTTTATATTTAATATTTAATATTTATTTTAATTTTATAGTTGTTTTCAGTTAATATTATTTATTTATTTTTATTATTAAATTTCATAGTGAAGTGCATCTCATGTCACTGATCAGTGACGTGGGAATCACATGGGAAAGTATTTATTCAGTGTGGGTTTCCACATGAAAACAAGGCCACAAATTAGTGACGTGGGAGTCACATGGAAAAAAGGTAGGTTCCCACGTGATTTTCACGTCACTAATTAGTGATTTGGTTTTCACGTGAGAACTTTTTCTTTTCTTTTTTGTTATTTGCGACGTGAGATCTATGTCACAACTTTGTGACCTGTTTTTCACGTGGGAAAAAGTTTCCACCATTGCATTTCCGACGTGTTTTACCCGCGTTGCAAATGTTGAACAGTGAAGTGATTTTTAGGTTAGTGACGTGGGAATCACTTGAGAAATGCAATGTTTCCTGTAGTCCATACCATAAAAACAATTTCAAAATTCTTTATCAGAGTCGCTCAAACCTTCTAATAACACAACATTCAAAAGATTTACGAATCATTTAAAATGATTTTGTTTGAGGACAAACAAATAATAAATTGGGGGAAGTTGATAAATTTTAAATTTTAGTAAAATAGGTAAGGATTTATTAATTTATTTAACAAACAATTAAGATAAAATCCCTCGAATTGTCTATAAAATGAAATAGAACACGTGCTTAGACTTTCCTAACTTGTATTAACTAAAAATAAATAAAAAGAATTTGAAAACCACAATTCAAGACACAAATAACAAGTCAAAGAAAAACTCTATAAAGCAGGGCCCGCTAAGCCATGAGCATACGTGCTCTAAGCGATTATTACTTTACCATCAAGTAACACATTATTTATTAAATTGCTAATATGCCCTCAAATCCAAAATCAATTAACAAGTCTGCAATTCCTTCTAATCTCCCCCTTAGTCCCCGTGAGAGGACTAATTTCACTCAACTTTATCATAGCAGCAACAAAGTCATTAAAAAAAGTAGCCCTATTAGTACTATAACTTCTAACCAAATTATCTTGAAACCCATTATTAAAAAGAACTTGATCAGAATGGAATAGTCCTTTCTTAGCAACCAGATCTTGATAGTAATTGTTGTCAAAACTAGTTGGAGTGAGAGTATCAAGAGGTGCTAATATGGTGTCACCACCAGATAAAGGGCAAGTTTTTTTTCTCAAAGTGGCAAAGTTTGGATCAATGTTGGTTTCATTGTATATGCGAGTTCTGAAAAATTGACACTCTCCTTGGCCTATGGTGTGTGCACCAGAGAGAACAGTGAGCTCTTTTACCGTTAGACCCTTGGCTGAAAACATTCTAGTGAGGGTAGAAAGGTCAGAAAATGGTGATGGAATTTGGTTGTTTGCTGCAGTTTGGCTTGCTGTTCTTGCATCTCTTCTTCCAAGTGGTACTACCCATCTAGGTCCTCCAAGCTATAAATAAATTAATTGAAAAAAATGGTGAATTATTGAGATGCAGAAAGTGAAAAATTAACCATGAATAATAAGAATACTCACTAGAAAGACTCCATCTCTAGCTGCAAGTGCTAGAATATCTGCACAAGAGACAATGCCTTTGCAAGAAGCTTCAACTTTGGTTTTAATCGCATCAATTACGCCGAAACCCCTAGCTGAATTTTTGTTAGGTGCTGCATTTTTCTCACCGGTAAATGTCGCAGTATCATCTAATAAGATTGATCCATCGCATCCCTGCAAAAAATAAGTGATATATTAAAAATTAAAATAGTGTCTTCAAGTAATTTTCGATTTATTAAAGTGGACTTACATTAACAAAGCAATCATGGAAGAACAAGCGAAGTATAGAAGCACCCATCCTTGGTTCATTTTTGATAGCATTGATCATTGTATTACGCACAATAGTTTGAAGGCTAGGGCAAGTTACACCATAAAAGTTATGGATAAGTTGTCCATCGGTAGAACATGCTAAGAGAGAAGTAATGGAGAGTGTAACAAATAATTTGATAAAGGTAGCCATAGAATTAAATCTATAAATCTTTATAGCTTTATGGAAGTGTTGTGAAGAAGCATATGAAAGATTAAGCAATATATATAGACCAATTGTGAGAGTGCATGCATACATGGAGATTGATAAGATCCAAAAGAGAAGATTGATTAGAGCCAAAAGAGAATATATGAAAATAATAATTTTTCAAATTTGTCTGCTTAAATTTTTGGGAGTAACTGGAAAATTTGTGTGATAAGAATAGACGGGAAAAATGGAAGTTTGTGAAATATTAAACAAAATTAGAAAATGCTCAACTATATGTAGTAGGAGTAGTTTCTAGGTCGACAGAGGGAAAAATATATTTCAGGGTATATATACAATATTCAATTTTAGTTTCTTGGTTATTATACTATTTGTATTTTTTTTTATAATCAAATCTCTAAATAATATAAAATATGGTATTCAGAAAGTATTCTAAAATCGATTACAAGTAGAGATATAATGTATCTAATTTATTATAAAAAAATTTATTTACAAAAAATCGAAAGAATGATGAAACCACTCATAATAATTGCACTTAATTATTGTTAGGTCTAATAGCTAACCACAATCTTGACGTATAAATTATTCGATGGAATAAATCCACTGGGCATCCGACTCCGTCATTAAAAATAAATTGGTTTCATTGCCACAAAATACACTAAACTGGGCAAAACCATATAGCACAAGTATTCCCTTTGAAAAAAAAAATCACTCATTTTTAAAAACCACTCCAACAAATGCTCACAATAAGTTCCCGAATACATCACCAGTGCCCCAACTCAAATGTCAATAGCCCTTCAAATCTCATAATTTTTGGACACTCAAATGTCAATAGCCCTTCAAATCTCTTGAATTTTTGGACACAAGAGAAACAAGTGATCTACAGATTCTTGGCGTTGAAAATAAAATATGCAAACCAAATTGTGAGGATTAGAAATTATCTCCCTGCCTGCCAGATTAGACCGGGTTGAAAGCCTATTTAAAATTAATCTCCACCCCAAAAATGTTCACTTTCATAGAATTCGAAGTTTTCTAAACAAGATCCAAAGTGATCTTAGAGATAATATCTAAATAATCAAACTCACTAGCCTTCTGAATAAAATCATACCTAAGACTTGACAGAAAAAGAGAGAGTTCCGTGAATTCTGCACGCAAAGCCTAAAAAAAAATCATGATCTTGGAATGCCAAACTCCAGCACCACACATCCCCCACCCAACTCCCCAACTCGTTGACTGCTGCAAGTTTGTGTGCAGAAAATTCATACAACACTGAGAAACTTCTACTCAATGGAATCGCCTCGAGCCAGCTTGAATTCCAAAAAGATATACGATATCCGATTCCAAGCATACAAGACAATTGTAGCATAAATCCATCATCATCCGTGGATCCAGCCATGTTGGAAATTTCCTTCCACCACAACGTTGAAAACCTTCCACTGTGACTATTCTTATTCAGAATTAATTTAAGAGCATAATCACCATATTTAAATGATAGCAGTGGCTTCCAAACATCTTTCTTTTCTTGAATAAGTCTTTAGATCCACTTTTATAAAAGAGATTGATTAAAAGTACGAATATCCTTCACGCCAATGGCCCCTTGTTCCTTTGGTTTGCAAATTACCAACCAACTAACCCAAGCCATCTTTGAATCATCCTTAGAACCCGACCATAAGAATCTTCTTTGGATAGACACAAGTTCTTTCACGATTTTCGCCGGTGTTTTGAACAAAGAAAGATGATGTGTAGGAAGATTAGTTAACACAGAAATCCCAATCAATGCATTCTTTTGCTTGAATAAAATCTACTTTGAATAGAAGGCACCTTCTCTTTCTTCTAATCGCCAAATCAATAAGTTCGTTCACCACAAGAACACCATCAAGGAGTTGTCTTCCAGGAATGGATGCAGTCTGAGATGGAGAGACCAAACCACCAATGACCTTACCCAACCTAGTTGCCAAAATCTTTGAAATTATGTTGGACATACATCTAACCAAACTTATTGGCCGGTACTCGTGTAAACCTTCAAGACCTTTGGCACAAACGTGATAAATGCAGAATTCAATGCCTTGGGAAGAAAGGGATTGTTATGGAAGACTTGAATGCAAGAAATGATATCAGGACCTATAAAATCCCAACAGTGCTTAATGAACTCAAAATTGAACTCGTCAGGTCTAGGACATTTATTATTGTCGCACCCTTTTATGGCCTCTAAAATATATTCAACTGTATATGGTTCCTCTAGCATATTGGCTTCTGTAGAAGACAATTTTGATAACTCTATTAGTCCAGCGTAAGTCTCGGTAGAGATTTGGTATAAAATCTATCAGCAAAGAAATTCTTGATATTTTTCTTGACAGTGGCCACATCCTCAATTCTTGCATCTCCAACATTAACCGAAGAAATAAAGTTACTTCTATTTCTGAGTTTCACAAAAGAATGGAAATATTTGGAATTTAAATCTCCTTCTTTAACCCAACTTATTCTAGATTTATGCAGTAACATACTTTCTTTGATAAGAAGATTACTCCACAACTGGTTTTGAACCTCACATCTCAACCTTAACTTCTCTTCCGAAATGTCTCCGCTGTTAAACTCCATATAGCCTTCAATCTCATTCAAAAGTATCCACCCCTTCTTTTATCTTCAAAAATCCATGCAAAAACGTTGGAATTCCACCATCTTAGCTTCTCCCTAAGGTATTTAAACTTCTTTACAATGATATGGACACTGCTACCAACAACATTTATCAAATTCCAAACATTTATCACAAAATCTATGAAGTCGGGATGATCAAACTAGAAACGAAATACCTTGAATGGTTTTGGTTCCCAGATTGTAATGCTACTCTTCAACCAAATCGACCAATCGGTCGATGATCTGAAATGTCGCGGTTACCTATGTGCTGAAACATCACATTCTAATCCTTGATTAATGTTCAAACAATTTTAGTGTGGATTTTTGTTATAGTATCCGCAGGAATTGGTTGATATACCTCCGTTCTACAATTAGAATTGTTTTAAACATATATCATAAAAGATGTTTGTTTTGGTTTCCTAACGTAAAGATATAAAAACATGTCAAGATTAGGGCTCGATAATCCATTTCGTATGTATCTTCCTAATAAAGCATGTGAACTTATTAACATTAAATATAATCACATATCCTCTAAAGATGTTTCATCTCTAAAACAAATTATGAGTTTTATCATATTGATCCTTAGATGATCTCTCAACCTAACTATTAATATGATAACATTAAACGATTGATATTAGTGAATATCAATTCACAAAACTATCTCTAAACTTTATTTATTGATAGATAACAAAGCTAGGTCAAGAGTTGAAACATACTACCTCCGTTCCTTTATGTAAGAGACAATTTATTTTTTAGATTCATTGAATAATTAATGTATTTAGTCAGTTTATATACTAGATACATTGATTATTCAATGAACCTAAAAAGTGAATTGTCTCTTATAAAAAGGAACGAATGTAGTATTTCTCAATAATGATCCAACACAAATATAGACCATAAAAACAAGGTTTTTCACCATATATTCATCATCAACATGTTCACATACAAAATATCAAGAGAAATACATACAAAAGTGAGGATTATATACCTCTAATCTTGACACAAGGAGAGATTTAGCTATCCATAACCATTGTAGCTTGAGCAACAAGTAAAAAATAAAGCTTTTGGAGCATTAAAATTTAAAGGATCAAAGATTAAAGCTTAAAAGATTTGACTTCTAAGTGATAATGAAGAAGATGACTTTTTCTCTCCACACAAATATTTCTAGGTCACAAAAGATTCTATGAAAAGTAATGTATGTTCAAAAAAATATCAACAAGTGGTAAAATACACATGTTCTGCCCAGGAAAAATCGTCGGGCGAGCTATATGCCTCGTCGGAAGAAACCCTTAAGTCAAGTCACGTGACAACAGTAGTGCCAGTGAGCTAAAGAAAATATCTTCATTTGTCAGGCGAAACAAAGCTTTGTGGGGCGAATCCCTTTCGCTCCTCATTCACCTGGCGAATCTGCCAGTGAACCAATTCCAGTAAGAAATTCTTTACATAAGGTGTTTTTTCTTCGACACGCGAATTTCTTCAATTCTTTACATTTTCTTTCAACTTTTACTGCACCCTTTTGCCATAATATTCTTAAAAACTAACAAATATATTAAAACTACCAACTATATGCATTGATGTAAGAATCACTTAATAAATAAGTTGTTTCGCAATTAAAAGCATGGAAAAGAGCTTAAAAATGCCGCAAATGGATACAAAAACTATTCTATACTTGACATCTATCAAACTCTCCCCAATTTGCATCATTTTTTCCCCTCAATCGAAGATAAATTTCAAAATCTATAAGAAATCTTTCAAAACACCAAATCAACTGGAAAACACGCATGGTTCAAACTCGGCAATCACACGCACAAGACATTCTCCATCACTTGCATAGGATCGAAACATGATTTTAAATTAAGTTCTAAACACAAACATCACAAAATGCAAAATCAAGTACCCACAAAGTTCAAGTTAAATCACCTAATTCACTTATTATCACTCACATGAACATTATGTACACATATTTACAAGAGACAAAACACTCTCACAAGTAATCGTGCCACATACAGAACAATTCACGCATGCATCTTACAAAGCTATTACAAAATCGTGAAAACAAATATCACTAAGGGCTTTTATGATTGTAACTTGACTTGGGTTAACAATAAAGGATAATATATACAAGGCTATTAAACAAAAACAGGTAAAAATCATGAAGAGCATTTCAATTTTCTGTTTTTCAAAAATTCATTCTTGCTTAATCCTCACATTCTTTTTCATCCTTTGATTTCTTTTCTTACAATGCATCTTTGCTTTTCTTTTTATTGATTCTTTCTTTCTTTTCGTGCTCTTTTCATAGAATGCATTGTACCACCTATTCTTTTTCCTCTCTTTTTTTCTTCAATGAAACAACTCTCCCTAACTTTCAACATTTCTTTCTCTTTAGACAAAAAAGCTCTTCACATAAGGTTAATAATTTATTGGAATATTATTTGATTCATTTTCACAAAAAAAATTCATTGTAAGGCTCAAGAGGGGTTACGAATGCACACACAATAACAAGGTGAATTGAACTCTTGGGAATGGTGGTTATTCTCATAGTACAAAAAAATTTCCTTGATCCTTTCTAAGTTTCCAAAATTTAAAAACAAACTTGCAAGAATAAACATAAACTAAACGAGTTAAACAATAATTACTTGAATTCTACTTTTAGTGAATATTGAAAAGCACCTTACTTTTGTGGTTTTATCCTAATTGATTCAAACATGAACAAATGTTTACAAAACAATGCAATATCACAATTTTGCATAAAGCACTAACTTCACAATCATGGTATAACTCTACAAATAAATTATTCAACACCTTGATTGTGCAGATCAACAAGAATTTTATCATCATCATCACATGTTAGAGTTTACTAGACACTCTTTTAAGACTTCTAAAAAAATCAAGGACAAACACAAAACTAACCAAAATAATTTCTTTGCACAAACATAAACTTAAACACACTAAAAAAAATGAAATTTAATATAAACCAAAATGAAGTTTCATAACCATTGTCTTGGTGAAAACACACCCAAAAAGTACTCACCGAAGCGCCAAAATTCTAACAACAAAAAGTATTCACCGAAGTGACACAAAAGTACTTAACTACTACTAAATTCTCCTAGTTTTAATCTTTCAAAAACTGTCAGGGGCATGAGGCTTACGCTAGCTCCTAAATCTAGAAAAGCTTTATTTATGACATAACTTCCCAAAATACAAGGTATGGAGAAATTTTCAAGATCTTTCTCCTTCTTGGCAAGTTTATTTTCGGAAATGGTATTGCATTCTAAGGGTTTTGGATCGTCAATTCTACGTTTATTGGTAAGGATGTCTTTAAGGAATTTCGCATATAACGGTATTTGGGTGATGGCTTCTGTGAAAGGGATTTCCACATGAACTTTCTCTATGACTTTGATAAATTTCTGATATTGGTTATTGATCTTGGTTTATTTTAGTCTTTGCGGATAGGGTATGGGAGGTTTATATAGTGGTGGTGGTTCGTTATTTTTGTCCTTATCCTTCTGCTTTTCAGATCCTACTGGTTCTTCTACTTCGCTCGTGGGTACCACGCTTTCTTTAGGAGTCTTGGGTTCACTCAATATCGGGTTAACCAGTTCATCGTAAGCGGTCCCACTCTGCAAGGTGATTGCATTGGCTTGCCCTCGGGGGTTCTGTGGAGGTTGACCAGGGAACTGTCTTTTGGGTGTAGTCTCAGAAGCTTGTTTTAAAGCTATTTGAGATATCTGGGTTTCAATCATCTTATTATGGGTGACTATTTGGTCTATTTTGGTTCCTAACTGGGTAATTAATTCATTCACATGAATGTTCTGGTTTACGAATTCTTTGTTTTGCTGGGTCTGAGCCGTAATAAACTTTTCCATGATTTTCTCAAGGTTCGGCTTAGGTTGCACAACTTGCATAGGCGGGTTTTGCCTTTGAGCTTGAAAACCGGATGAACTCGGGGGTGCAGGGTTTTGGATAGGGTTGTTATTTTTGTAGGAAAATTTTGGGTGATTCTTCCATTCAGGGTTATAGGTGTTTGAAAATGGGTTTCCTTGGGTATAGTTGACCTCTTCTAAATGAGTTTGGTTCAGCAGATTGCATTATGCCGATTGGTGTCCTTGAGTACCACATAGTTCACACTCAGTTGAAACTGCTGCTGCAGCTACTGGGTTTGCGTACATATGTTCTACTTTAAGGGCTAAAGCGTCCATTTTGGCTTGCATCATGTCTATAGAACTTATCTCATGTATTCCTCCTTGGGATTCTTTCTTTTCCACCATCGCTCGCTCTATCCCCCATTGACAATGGTTTTGGGCCATATCCTCGATGAGAGCGCAAGCTTCAAGGTAAGGTTTATTCATCAGGGCACCACCTGCGGCAGCGTCGATGGTCATCTTTGTGTTATAGTGAAGTCCATTATAGAAGGTGTGAATGATTAGCCATGATTCTAGGCCATGGTGTGGACATATTCTCAACAGGTCTTTATATCTTTCCCAAGCCTCAGAGAGAGGTTCACCTTGGTTTTGGGTAAATCTGGTTATCTGGTTTCCTAAGAACAACTGTTTTGCTCGGGGGAAAATATCTAGCAGGGAAAACTCTCCTAAGGTCTTCCCAAGTTGTTAT